CAAAGAGGCTGTTTGATGTCCCAGTGGATGTTCCAAAGCCAAAGCCAGTGCTGGTGGAGGAGGTGGCTGGTTGGTTGAACGTGGTTGACCCAAACAAGCCTCCTGCAGACAGAAACAGGCTGTTAATCCTGCACAGCCTCCCCGGCTTGGGGGCTGGGATGGGCCCTTCTGGGCTTGGGAGGGCGTTTGGCTATTCCTTGGTGAGGATTCCTGGTTTGGGGGTTTCCCTGGCTATTCCTTGTAGAGGATTCCTTGCTTTGGGGGCTTTTCCCTGGCTATTCCTTGGTGAGGATTCCTGCTTTGGGGGTTTCCCTGGCTATTCCTTGGTGAGGATTCCTGGTTTGGGGGTTTCCCTGGCTATTCCTTGTTGAGGATTCCTGGTTTGGGGGTTTCCCTGGCTATTCCTTGGTGAGGATTCCTGGTTTGGGGGTTTCCCTGGCTATTCCTTGTTGAGGATTCCTGGTTTGGGGGCTTTTCCCTGGCTATTCCTTGTCGAGGATTCCTGTTTGGGGTTTTCCCCTTCTCGCCCTCCCCAGGCATACCTGGCTTTGTCTGTGTGCTCCCGAAGAGGCTGCCGGTGTTGTTGGTGGAGCCGAAGGCCGATGTCCCGAAGGCTCCCCCGCTGGTCGTACCAAAGCCAGCATCTGCAGGCACAGCCCGGTGAGCTCTGGGAACAGCCTGAGCTCCACAAACACCCAGAACACACAGCTCTGCCTTCCAAGCCCTCCCAACAAACCCAGCACACACCCAGCGACACCACCTTCCACTCTTCCTACAGCAGGAAGTTTCCACAGCAGACACGGAATTCTGCTTGTCTGCCCAAACTAAAAGCTTGGTTAGGGGTGCAGCCTCAGGCTCCTGAACCTCATCCAAGCCAGCTGGAGCACCCAGCAGCTCCCCATTCTCCCTAATTCCATCCCACGAGGGATCACCACCTCCATGGATTCTCTGAGCTGCACTCCAGGAAAAGACACCTCATTAAAAACCACCTCAGATATTTCACTTACTTTGCCCAAAAGTTGAAGTTGTCCCAAAGCCGGTGCTGCCTCCAAAAGGAGTTCCAAAGGATTTGTTAAACATTTTCAGGATATATCAGGTTTTCGTCCCAGACCTGGAAAGCAGAATTCAGGTTTTACTGAAAGCTCATCCTGCAAACTCATTTTCCACCTCCCTCATTGCCGAGGGCAGCAACCCCACCAGAACCCTTCAGCACCAACCCCATAGCACTGTGTGATTCCAAACCCTGCCAGAAGCCTGGGGACCAAGGGCACCGACATTCCAGTGACAGCACAGCTCAGGAGGTGTCACTAAACACCACTGTCCCTAAAATTAAGGTGTCACCCTTCATTACGGCTGGAGCTCCTGCCCATCTCAGCCTGTGCTGATCCCACTGCAATCCCAGGGGTTTCCAGGACTGGTTTTCCTGTTCCACCCTCTTTGCCAACTGCTTCAAACTCAGCAGGGGGGAAAGCAGTGCACAGGGATTACAGGGATCCCCCTCGCTCTGCTCCCCAGCAGTTGCAGTTCCAGGGGAGCTTTGCCAGGCCCAATTCCCTTTCCAGCCCCCACGGTTTATTTACAGCACATTCCCTGTGCCTCTCCTCAGCCTCCTCCCCCAGCACTGGCAGGTACAAACTCTGCTCCAACTCTCTGAGTTTGTCAACAAATCCAGCACAATCCCCTCAGCTCCTCGGGCACTCTGTCAGGGAACTGGGGGGTGTTTTCCTGCAGCTCCACTACTGAAAACTCCAGATTAACTAAAAACGTGCCACATTAACCAAAAAGCCAGTATTACCCCCAAAAAAGTTCATATTCTCCCCAAAATGGCAGTACTAACAACAACAACAAAAATGAGCTAGAAGCAGAAAAACAAAATGCCATATTAACAAAAAAAAAAAGCTAAAAAATGCCAATGTCAAAAAAAGCCAGTATTACCCCCAAAAATGTCATTTTAACCAAAAATAATGGGCGTAATGATCCAAGAAAAGCCATATTAGCCAGAAAAAAATGACAGTACTAACCAGAAAAAATCTGCATTACTAAAATAATGCCATATTAACAAAAAATGCTAGTGTTATCCCACCCCTTGGATATTCAGCAGGAAATGCAGGAATTCCCCCACATTCCCAGGTACTCCCTGGCAGCAGCAGCCACACACAGCAGTGCAGAACTAAGAACATCAGCAATTCAAGAATGGCCCACACCAGGAATATTCCCAAAGCCAACATTTCCAGTGCAAGCCAAAGCTGCCCTTTCCCTGTGCCCAGGTCTGGCAGCTCCCCCATCCCAGCCAAGGCAGGCACAGAGGGACTGGGCACTGGGACTGCAGGGAAATCTCCACAGCCAGCTGCCCATCCTTGAAACTCAAGTGTTTGCTTCCCTAACACCAACACCAACTTCCTGGGAACGGCCAAATCCGGGCTGGGAGCAGCCACAGCCTTCCACCATCCCTGAACAGCTGGAGACCAAATCAGCCCAGAACAACCAGCCCAAGCCCACACTTCCCTGACAGAAGAACTAAAATGATCATTTGTGTCACCTCCAACTACCCCAACAGACACACACCACGATTTTGGAGTGTTAAGGGTCTCCACACTTCCACAGGCAAATCCTTACAGGCTTCATTTGTCCCAGGAAGAGGAATTTCAGTGAAATAATGCTCGCAAAAGTCAGGAAAAGCTGCTCTGACAAACTCTCAGAGCTCCCCAAGCTGAGAGGAGCTCCTGGGAGAGCTCCCCTGGCACAGGATCCCAGGGCACCCTGAGCCCTCCTCACCTTCTCCCATGGGATCCCAGAGGCTGGGAAAGCCCTCCCAGCCCCTGCAGTCCCAGCTGTGCCCCATGGCCACCTTGGCACCCTGAGTGCCACCTCCAGGTGCCACCTGCAGGGATGGGCACTCCAAAGCTCCCTGGGCAGCCCCTGCCAAGGCCTGAGCTCCCTTTCCATGGGGAAATTCCTGCTGCTGTCCAAGCTGAGCCTCCTGTCTGGGATTTATGAAAGTGAAAAGGCCAACCCTGTACATCCTTTTCTCCAGGCTGACCCCCCTCAGCTCCCCCTCCATCAGGACCTGCCCCCAAACACACCTCTTGCTTCCTATGGAATATTTTCAGCTATCTCCCGTTGTCCCAGTGCAAGTCTCCCTTTCAGGCCAGATAAAAATCACCTGCACTTTGCAGCTGTCCAATGTTGTGACTCTCAGCCTTATCTGCAAATTCACAAGTCCCTCATTTTCTGTGGTTCCTCTTTCCTACGTCACTGCTCTCTCATTGTCTTTACATCACTAAATGCCAAACTCTACCTAAGTAGAAACCTAAAAAATAACTTTCTAAGAAAAAACAAGTTATGGAAAGATTTCCCCCTCCCCCAGCGAGCATTTTATTTTACTTCAGATCCACCCCTCCTTCCCTGCACCTCGAGGGCTGTGTCCAGCTCTGGGCTCCTCAGAGTAAGAGACCCTGAGGGGCTGGAGGTGTCCAGGGCAGGGAAGGGAGCTGGGAAGGGGCTGGAGCCCCAGGAGGGGCTGAGGGAGCTGGGAAAGGGGCTGAGGCTGGAGAAAAGGAGGCTCAGGGGGGACCTTGTGGCTCTGCACAAGTCCCTGGCAGGAGGGGCAGGGAGGGGGGGTCGGGCTGTGCTCCAGGGAACAGGGACAGGAGGAGAGGGAACGGCCTCAGGCTGGGCCAGGGCAGGCTCAGCTTGGACAGCAGCAGGAATTTCCCCATGGAAAGGGAGCTCAGGCCTTGGCAGGGGCTGCCCAGGGAGCTTTGGAGTGCCCATCCCTGCAGGTGGCACCTGGAGGTGGCACTCAGGGTGACAAGGTGGCCATGGGGCACAGCTGGGACTGCAGGGGCTGGGAGGGCTTTGCCAGCCTTACCGATTCTAGAATTCTGTGAACTCAAAACTCGAGAGTTCTACATAACATCCCTCTCCCATTCTCTGCACCCCCAGCTGAGTTGGGACCCCTCGCGCCAAAGAGCTCTAATTGAAATCTAACAGCAACAGCACAAAACCCCCCTAAAGCCACCCAAAGCAACCCATGCCACCAAAGTAACTTTAAGTCACATGTAACCAACCTAACTTTAAACTCCAACTAATTAACACTACATTGAATAACTCCCGGCCCCGGGGACAGCCGGGCCGTTACCCGCATCCAGAACCGCGTATCCCCCGTGGAAAACACCCGAGATCTCCAACCGGACGCGCACCATAACAACCAAAAAGGCCTAAAAACCCCCAAAAGCGGCCGGAGATAGCTGAGACACGGCTGCCGAGAAATCCCACCCGCTCACGGCCTTCCCGCCTCCCTCCGGCCCTTCCTCCGTCCCGGGGCCTCCCCGCGCCCCCCCCACTCCGAGACCACCCGGTCTCCCGGCACAAAAGGCCTGGCGGCGGCGGCGCCACAACCATGCCGGGCAGGGCAGGGCGGCCAGCCGCGGTGCTCACCGCAGGTGACGGGCAGGACTGCCCTAGCGGGCCCCGCTGCTCACGGCGGGTGCCGGGAAGCGCCGCTCGGAGCGGCCGGGCCGGGTCAGGCCCGCGGTGCCGCCGCCGCCGCCGCCGCCTCACGGGGCCGCAGCTGCGTCACAGCCCGCGCGCGCACTCCCGGCCTCCCCCGCGCGCCGCCTCGGCCCCGCCCCGCCCGCTGCGCTTCCGCCCCCCATTGGCCGCGCCCCCCAGCACTGGCCCTTAGCTCAACGTTGATTGGGTAAAAGGGCGCCGCTCACCGAGCGCCCATTGGCCGGGCGGGCAGAGGAGGGGGCGGGGCTTGGCTCCACGGAAGGGTCCAGAACGGCCCATGTCGCGGCGTCGCCTCACATCCGGGGCGTTTGAGGGGGCGGGGCTTCTCCCGCGAGGACCAATCGTGTGTCGCGGCGCGCGGGAGCTGGGCCCAGTCTCTTAAAGGGGCCGCAGCGGGGTTGGGGGCGGGGGAAGAAGAGGAAGAGGTGGAAGAAAGGGAGGAAGAGGAGGAGGCGGAAAAGGCGGAGGAGGCGTGGTGGGGCTGCCGGGCCCGGACGGGATATGGAGCAGCGCGAGGGGGGCTGAGCGGTGAGGGGGGTGCTGGGGTCCGGCACTGTGGGATACGCAGGGTTTGGGGAAGGGGTCCTGGAGAGGGTCTCCAGCGGATGTGGGGTTCCCGGAGGGATCACTCACTGCGAGATCCTGGGGGTCCTGGGGAGGGGAACACCTGTGGGGAGCGCGGGGGAATGGGGGGTACCTGGGGAGGGATCTCAGGGGGTCTCCAGGGCCGGTCTGGGGGTAGTGAAGCCCCTCTCCTGCAGGACAGGTCGGAGCCATTCAACATGGAATACAAAATATTTGCTTTTATTTGCCCTCTTTGAGCAAGATCCCCGGGGAGAGGGAGGGCAGAGGCTGTGGGATTCCTGCTGTGGGGTCCCTGCTGTGGGGTCCCTGGGGCGTCCCCACGGCCGAGCCCCCCGAGGGAGCGGCAGGATTTGGGGGCTCCATATCCCGGGCCGTGGGGAGCCCTTGGGGAGCTCCTCGGTGTCCCGGGGTGGAGAGCCTGGGCCGGCCGGGCACCCCTCTCCACACCCAGTCCCGGCCTTTTGAACCTTCCCTTTCTCTTTGCTTTTATCCCCAAATGATTCCGTCTCTCTGTGCCTAGCAGCTCGGGTGGGGCTGAGCTCTGTGGCTTCTCGGTGACTGGGGTGGGTCCCTTCACTGGGGTTTGGTCCCCCTTTTAGGGGCTGTGGTGCGGGCATAGAGTGGCCGTGCTGCCCTGGGGCACTGCCCAGACGGCTCAGGGATTGTCCGTAAATCGGATTTGTCCCGCAGCCAGGTGGTGGTGGGGTGGGATCCATCCCAGCCTGATCCCTTGGGGCTGAGGGGAGCCCTGCCCTGTTCTGGGGTCTGCCAGGCTCCAGAGGTGCCCGTCCCAGTATTGACGGCCTGACCTGCCCCAGCTTCGTTGTTGTGTGGGGTTTGAGCTGCCCTGATCCTGCAGCCAGCGGTGCATGGAGTGTCCTGAGTTGAAGGGACCCACAGGGATCTTTGATCCAGGCCCCTCAACAATCCCAGCCTGGGCATCCCTGGCAGCTCCTGGAGCTCTGTGCCCATTCCCTGGGGAGCCTGGGCAGTGCCAGCACCCTCTGGGGGAAGAACCTTTCCCAAAATCCAGCCTGAGCCTGCCCCGGGCCAGCTGCAGGCAGTGCTGGCTGGGCAGGGAGAGCGCGGGCTGAGGGGGCCGGGCTGAGGAGGGGAGCTGTGGGAGCAAGGCTGTGGGGGCCGGGCTGAGGGATCTGTGGGGCCGGGCTGAGGAGGGGAGCTGTGGGAGCAAAGCTGTGGGGCTGTGGGAGCCGGGCTGAGGGAGCCGGACTGAGGAGGGGAGCTGTGGGAGCAAAGCTGTGGGGCTGTGGGGCCGGGCTGAGGGATCTGTGGGATCTGTGGGGGCCGGGCTGTGGGGCTGGGTTGTGGAGCCGGGCTGTGCCGGAGGAGCCGCGGCTCCCATTGGAACTGACAGCCCGGCTGTGTCAGCGCTGCTCTGGGCTCACGGAATGCTCTGGATGGATCCCACGGGACAGGGTTCACGTGCCCTTCCTGCCAGATCCGTCTGGAGAGCTGCAGGGAACGGCCTGCTCTGCCCCTGCTCCCCGTGAGTCTCGAGCTTCCTGTGTCCCCACAACGGGATTTGCTTTGTCTGCCTGTCTGTG